GTACCTTTACTGTTTTGCATTTCAGAACAATCCTTATTTTGTTTGTCTGTGTTTAATATCTTCCAGTGGTTACAATTATGAGATTGTTTTATCCTTATATATGTCTAGCAGCAAGTATTACATGGTACCATTTCCACAGTAGTATTGCAAGTCTTCTGCCTGTAGTCTAGTGATAGTCTTGAAATAATTATCCAAATGCTACGTCTTGTAGGTTTCTATGTCTGTTTCACAATTCCAGCTTGGCGACAGATAAATTCATTGCAATTGCAGGATTTTTCTTTCTCCCCATATGAGGGGAAAATTTTGAATGGAGGGTTTTGTGGTATGCATTTGGTGTTCTCATAAGTATGGCCTTGTCATTAAATTTGGATACATGTACCCTTAACCTGGCTTATCTCTAAAGAAAGTGAAGAAAGGAACTAGGACTTTTTAAGGATTTGCAATGTTTTCTACATAACTCTAAAAAAAAATAGTTTAAAACCTGGTCTGCTGGAGTTATATGAGCTTCTAATGAAATAGTCATGTCATATTGATTGTGGAACAATATATGACAATGTATGACAGTGTATGAAGACAGTAAAAGCAGACTTTAAAATTTTGCTGCACATATCTACCACTGCTTCAGCCTGGGCAAGCCAGAGGGTCTTTTAGGCAAGACACCTACAGCACAGATCCAAATCCTCCCTTCTCAATGTGCAAACTCTTAGCTCTAGCCAAGAAGTTCAATACTTTCTGTTAAGAATCAAAGATGAATCTGTCCTCTAAAGCCTGGTTTTAACTGTCTACAGCTTTTTGCCTCAGATTTTGAGGCAGGGATTACAGCTTTGCGCCAACAGAAAGATTGCTTGTGCATATTTCTTAAACTAAACATTTAAAGACATTTCCTTTTTGCCATTCTTTCCAGAATGAGCCCTAAAGGCTCTTCGTTTCTAATTTTACCTAGAGAAGATCCGTTTCTTTTGAAACTTTTCAGGGTTGCAGATATTTCCCATTCAGGCAAAAAAACCTCAAGAGGTCTTGTTTTTTGTCAAAGTGGACAAAGCCCTCAGCTTCACTCCTGATGCACAATGAATCTTGATTATACAGTTGAACACTGCCCACTGATATGATGCATCTAGGTTCAGGTTCTTGTCTGCCTAGTTCAGGCCAGAACCTTGCAGTTATCATTTTGTCATCTGAAGTGAATACTCTTACCATCTGTACTGTGGTGTGGATATACTCATTTGCCCCTGAGGCTGTTCTGTGGATTTATTAAGAGAGAGAGAATTTTACTAGTCCTCAACACTTCTATTTTCCCAGCAGCAAAGTTTTATTCCATCCTGTAACCTGGGCTGCTGTTGTAGGGCTATAAAGATTCCTGTCCTTTACAACAGTGAGTCTTAGCTTTTGAGATACTCATGGAATATACCAAGTTCCATTAGTCATTTATCTACACAGAAAAGATAGCAGAAGGGTATTATAGACTGTAAATGTTTAGGTTCTCAGATTCTGTAGGTAGGGCAGTGAAACAAAGTCTAATATTAATCATAAGCATTAAAATTCAGGCACTGTGATCTGCTACTGTAAGAAAATTTTAGTTGAGTAATTAAATATGATTTTTAAATATTTATGGGATAAAAATGGTAGGTGTTTCCTGGTTGGGAGAAGGAAAATTCTGACATGTGCTTTCACCACCAGAGTTAACTCTTCTCTTCCCCAGATTCATGCTTCCTTGCTAACGTACATGTGCAGATATGAGATAATGCTGATCTGTTGGTGGATCAACATGTTTGTCAGTGCATCTGATACACCAACTTTTGGAAAGACTCCTGTCTTTATTTTATTTAGTGTAATTACCAAGGAACAAGTCATCTTCCTTTCCAGTTAGTACTGTGTTACCTCTTACTGGGGCATAGTTTAGATTTTGGTTTAAATACTTTCAAGTTCTGTGTCTTGTAACTGTAGCACTGAGCAACAAGTTGCTGACAAACTTTTTTTGAAGTATGAAATACGGTTTGTGTGGTTTTTTTTCTTCTTTCCCTGACATTACCATGTTCTGTTCCTCAGAATGTTTTCTCTTTCTGTGATTCCTTTTCAGCTGCTGCACATAAAGTGTGATAATGATGAACATATGTTTCAAAGACCCTCTACTTTTTTCTGGTGTAACAATGAGGATTCACCTCCTTGTTTAGATATCTCTTCCATTACGCTTACTCCTAGGAGTTCTCCTGACTCCAGACTACCATCTGGATTGTTAATACCACCACCTTCAAAAAGTGGTCTTCCAAAGCCAACCAGTGAATACAGCTGCCCAAGACCTCGTGTAATCCTGCTGTGCAAAAGCTTTTTCTTTTTTTCTTTTTTTTTTTTTTTTTTTTGTTTTGATTTTTTTTACTTTCCTCTGGTGTATTACTTTATATTAAAAATGTGCATTTTGTACAGTGGTTACAGGACAGAGCAGGTGTATCTTGGATTCTCTAGGAATACTCTTAAAATACAGAATTCATGAAGGCTTACTTTTATTTCTACATAGCTTTTTGTTTCCTACGTCCAAAACATAAATTCTTATTTTTTCAACATGTTTAATTTAGTGCATTAATTAATTACCTCTCTGTTATCTGTCAGTCTTCTATTAAAATTCTTTGTATTAAGAATGGCTATTCCAAAAAAAGTTCTAAATTCCAACATCAAGGGCTTTTTCCCCCCATGAACTAATAGAAAAGCGATCAGCCATTAAATACCTTTTTAGCCTACTTTATAAAAACTCTGTGCAAAATGAAGTGTGAAAATTATTCTTAAATATGAAATAGGCATATTGCCTGCTTTTTTGAGAGCAATATGCTTATATTCTCCATTTTTCCTCCATTTGCAAGTAACGTTTGGCTGCATTTGGCAAACATCCTGGCTTTTTGCATGTGTTCGCTAAATAAAAATGCTTCTTGTGCTCATATGTATTCAAAATATATGTATCTTAAAATAACTAAATTATAGTTTTACTTAAACAATAGCTGTATGGGCAGTATTAAAATGGCCAGCAACTTCAACAAAATGGCAGAGTCAAGAAAAGACAGTGTAAAGTTTAGGTTTGCTTGTTTTGCCTAGAAGACTCCTTTAAGACTAAACAAAATACTGTTTATCGAGCTTCTAGGTAGCCATAAACTCCTAGGAAATAAGGAGAATCTATATTAGCATTTACTATGTGCAAGATTCTCTAGGATTATGCATCAATGTTGATGGGACATGTAGGTTAATATATGGCATGCACTTATGCATTAAAAGTGGTGCCACCTTCCTGATGCAGACGAAAACATATCTATAATCTCAGAGTTTTGTTTGGATGAAGAAAGGTATAGGAGATTATTAGGTGTTTACTTTGGGTCAAACACATCTGTTGCTCTGCTTTGAGTGGGGACAGATGTCATCCAGTGATCTCCCTGACTTAACTTACACTGGTTCTCTGCCTGCCCAGTGTTGCCAGGAGGTTAATGCAAGGTCCATGGACACAGTCAGAAGAGCCTCTTGTGCCTAAACACTATGCACTGAAGTCCTTTCAGAAGAGGTGATCTTTGAAATTGTAATGCTAACTTATATTGAAGTCACTAAGAGTTCTGTACGTGTAAAAATCTTAAAAATGAGTTATTTTATGAAGTTAATTCAGCTGTGGTCTTGCCAGGGCATAAGATGACTAAGAGGAGATTTTTTTTAAAAACAGAACAACAACAAAAAAGAAGCAACACATTAAATGTGGATTTTCATTATTTTTTTAATTATTTTTTTCTCAGTACGCTTCAGTATACCTAGATTGAAATTTCCCAGGTTTTTTGAGATACTGGACTGCTCTAAATCATTTTTAATTCAAAATTAAAATACTCAAGGCTCCTAAGAAATAGGAAATGTAGGACTTCAGGAGTCTAGTTTTCTCTTCAAGCAGTGCATTCAGTGCAAGCCTGTAGATGAATGTCCTTTCCTTCTCAGCAGTCACTGAAGCCTCCAGAGAGAAACAGAGATAGTTAGGGGCTACCTGTAGATTTGGCTTAAAAATCTGTAGAATGTGCTGCCAGAGGGCAGCTTCAGTTGCTGCAGCAAAGGCACTAGAGAAAGCAGTATTCTAAAATAAAGTTTAGGTCCATGAAAGTTTCCTGGACACAAAATGTAGGGGCTTTTGTCTTGTCTGAATAATAACATTAACATGCAAACTAGTTTTGCATATATATTTTGCCTTTGGCTTTTTGATCTCAGTTTTAATCTAGATCTTCAGTGCTCAGTTTATTCTAACTAATGCCTTATTTGTGTCCTAAAGTAATGGACTGATGGCAGGAGGAATGAATCATTCAAAAATAAATACGGCTGTAGAACCGTATTAATTGCTGGGCTTGAGGTTTCTTTGCTTATCCAGTATCTTTTTTTAACCCTTCCAAATTCATGGGCCTTACTAATCTTGTCTGTTTAAATTCAGGGATGAAGAGTTTTATTTTGGACCTTAATACTCAGTGTATTGCATGTCGAGGTTGTTACTTCTAAAAAATACATTTGAGGATTTACTGACACCAGGTTTTTTAGGCTGTCAAATAAGTGAGCTTGTAAGGAAGAATTAGTAAACGAGATGTTTGGATTTTGTCTTTTAATTTTAGGTACGTGTTCTGTGCAGTCCAGGGCACAGCAGATTGTTGCTGCAGTATTGCCTTAAATGGGTCTTGTGAACCTATCTGTGTTCATACGTCTGCAATAGAGAACTGCCTCTCACCAGCTTTTTCAGGTTTAACTGGGAGACATTTCTGGCTGTACCCGATGAACTGAAAATGGAAAAGTTACAAAGCTGCTTATGTATTGGGAGAGTTTTAGCATGTCTCAGAGTCTGAACTGCAAATGCCATTTGCTTGGTGTCAGGAGCTGTTTTTTGCATGCTGATGGTTATTTTTAGCTTTTTTGAAAATGTGGCTCTTATCTGCATGCTGGAGAATTCAGTATTGTGAACTTTTTCATGTGAAATATTGCCCTAATATTTATTGTCCTTATTGTAGGCAGGCAGTGTGACACCTAAATCACCCTCCACTGACATCTTTGATATGGTTCCCTTTTCTCCCATATCCCCTCAGTCATCAACACCTACTCGCAATGGTACACAGCCTCCTCCAGTACCCAGTAGATCTACAGAGATCAGTAAGTTTTGTAAAAACTGACCTAATTTTTGCTTACATTATATTTTTTTTAATAAAGCATCTTTAAAGATTTACGTACATTTTGCATGAAAAGCCAAATACAGTTTTTGTAAATCACATTATTTCATTTTTATACCGTCTTCCCAAAAATTGATGTTGCTGCAAGTTACATTATAAACAAGTCTAATTACTTGATGAAACTATTATATAAATGGTTTGAAGGAATTTGTTTGGGAATTTTAACTTGGCCTTTCTTTTACAGTATCTCTTTTGTACTTACTTCAAGAAATACTTTTACTTTGTGTTAGTTCTTTCCTTGTCAAGTCACAGTTGTAGCAGCTGAAGCCTACATTTCTGAGGAAGACAGCAGGTGGAGTAAGTATGATGATGATGATGATGATGCAGAAGGGAGAGCTGAAGAAATTCCTCAAGGTGTAGACCATCTTGGAAGGCTATTTTTAATACTACTTTCCATATAACCTACAGCTTTGCATTTATAGTTGATGAACCTTCTCCAGATCTGTGAACCACTCCTAAAAGATCTTCAAAGGATGATTAACAATAGCAATTTTATTTTCCAAGGGTTTGAAAGCAGCTAGTCTAAGGTTCTTGGCTTCTGTGGAAATCTTTTAGGAGTCAACAAAGTATATATAAAAGCTTTGTAAATCCTCTGGAGGAGAGGAGAGCAGAGTATACACAAGTAATGTTAGAGGCTGTAGAAATATCAGTCTGTGGGTAGTACCTTCTGTTTCTTATGCCTATATTAGTATGGATAAGGATATGGATATGGGTATGTTGCTGCCTCTAGCTGTCTAAAACCACATATGAAGATTTTCTGCCTGTTTTGGGGAATGCTGCTAGTGTGTAGAATTTTCAGGTTTGAAGGAGAGCTGTGCACAATTGTAAAGCTCAAGCTGGTGAACATCTTCCCCAATACCATATAGTATGCACCTTTTGGTTCTATTGCTCAGAATGACTGTCACCCTCTAAAGAGAAAGTAGATGTCAAGGCTATTGAGTCAATTAAAAAAAAAAAATATTTTTTAAGAGAAGGTTTTAAATAAATTTAGCTTAATTTCTGTTGGTTTCTCAAAGGGTATGTTAACAGTATTTAAACTATTCTATTGAGAATCATTAGTATTAATTATTCCTAAATAACTTAAAAGAATATCAGAATATTCTAATAGAATGTTAGGATAGTGTTGCTTTATGGCTTTATAAAAGCAAAAAAACCTCAAAGATAGAAATTGTGGGTAGAAATCTTGCAGGACTCAGTGCTCGATGCCGAGTGGTCTTGAGAATTCCAGCTATGTAGGTTTTTTGTTTAATGAGTGGGTTTTGTAATACAGGAAATGCTATAAATAAGCTGTTTATTCAGTGATATAGACTGTTTAAAGTAGTTGTTTCTTCTGCATTTCATTCATTTGCACTAGATTAGGATGATGTAATACAGATGTGACAGTCAGTGTCTGTTTGTTAGTTCTCTGTGCTCCTCACTGTGTCAGGCTTCAGAGGGAGATTACACAAGTACATCATAGTCTTTATAATTTTGATCCCTGCTCTGTCAGTCTGCATCGTGGTACTTTAGATGTCAAAAATCGTTGCATTCATCAGCTATTAACACACTTTGGCAGCTTTCAAAACTGTCATTTGGTACAGAAGAGGAATATTTTATAATCAAACAAGGACTTACGGTCTTAGATAAGAAAGTTCAGATCTCATAAGAACTCTATTCAAACTCTGTAATGTTAGATCACTATAGTAATGTACAGTAATAGATTGTTTCCTAGGGTTTTAATGCTGCAGTAAAAGCCAGCTGGCATTTCTTTCTCCAATACAAGTCAGATAAGTGGCAACCAAAAGGAGCGGGCAGTTGGAGTCTACCATTTTCTGAGGTCGTCTTTTCATAGTTTTGCATCTGCTTTTTTTTTGTCACTACATTTGAGTGGTTTTTTTCCAATCATTTTGATGTAACTACAGGGTGATTTTGTTGGATTTGATAATTTTTATAAGTTTGACCTTTATCATGTTATTAGTAAAAAAGGAAAAAGATGAAGATCCACCATCTATTTGCTAGTGTCAATGTCACTTGCTCCATTTGTCTAAGAGAGGTTCCTCTGCCTGTTACCTAGGGACAGTACTTGTGCTACTCGAGCAAAATGTACTTCTAACAGCCCAAGTTCACCTCACCTACCAGCTGGCCAGTTTAACAAATCACCCAAGAATAACACCATAGAAGAAAGACAGGTTCCAGTTGCAGGAAACCAGTAACAATACCAGCCACTGTTGATTTCTCCAATGCCAAGAGCTTCAGAGGTGATAAGTGGCACCAGGATGACAGTTCAGTTTTTTGTACAAGGAAATGCATAGAGTTCAGATTTTGCTTTCCAGCTCTTCTTTGGGTATTTTCCCCAGGAAAAAAAAAATAATAATGTGAGTATTTATAAATTATATCTTTTGCTTTGGCTACCTCACAGTATGTAGTTCAAGAAACACAGTATTCTAACACTGTAAGAGTACAACATTCACCTTTTTTCAGATAGATGTTTCTCTCCAAAGCATTTAAGCTTTAGAAAAGGGAGAAGATTCTTGAAATTTGGGGTTCTTATCCAGTGATACACTAATATGTCTTCTCAGTAAATGTCTGCTTACTACTTGGACATATCAGTGGTAGCAGATAGATTGGTTTTACCTGTTTTAAAGGAGAAAATTGCATGATGTTTGGACAGGAAATTGAAAATTGGACAAATATATGGTGTCTCTTTAGGTAACAATCACAAAAAAAGTACAAATCTAGAATTGTATTTCTACTGAAAATGTTGCTGAGAAATATTTAACAGTAAGTTTGCAGTCACCAGCTTGCAGGCTAAACATTCACATTGCAGCCCAGTACAGTAATTGCTTAATTGAACAATAGACCAACGCATAGTTAGTGCAACCAAAACTGCTGTCTTAAAGACCATGCTGCTGCTTCCTTGTGGAGTTAGGCATTGCAAACATTCTTGTAAGTTATCTTAAAGGACAGAAATAATCTATTGATTTTAATTAATTAAAGAAGGAATTAATTTCTGTGTTTCTTGTTGGCACAGCAGTATTGTTGGATCTTGGAAAAGAGCTGAAGTGGAACATTCTCTATCGAATCGTTCAACATTTATTTCAGTCACATGCATCTAGAACAATACAAGGTCACAACTGGCAGATGTAGCAATCTGCTCTGAGATTGTCTTTCCAGAGATATTTAAAAGTCCATTGTAACACTAATGGTGGAGACATTTTTTATGCTGTAACAGTTCCAAAATAAAAAAAAAAAAAATGGAGTAGCTTGCAACTAAAGGAAAGGCTTCCTGGACTTTACTACCTCAGCTTGTGCCAAATATTTTCTTCGGTACTTGTCTTCAGTGTGATTAATTTTTGTGATCACAGCTGCTCCAGGACATCTGGGGAAAGCAAATATCAGCATAATTCTGTGCCTGGATGATAACTAAGGTAAAGAAGATCAGGATGAAAAATGCAGCAGAAAAGCCAAACATTTGTCAATTTGTTTAGTAATTGCTAGGTTTGAGTTTACTACAGCCTGGATGTTGCTACTTTCCAGTATCACATGTTTCTTGTCCTGAATGTCAGGTAGGTCACAGAAACAAGAATTTATTACCTCTTCATGTCTTTCTGCGGTTTGAATTGCAGAGGTAAAACATGATCTTTTCATGGGGTTGAATTTGTTGGTCAATTTCCCAAGCTGTGAATTTATTTCCATCCAGAAAGGACAGGACAGGAGGGAATGGCCTCAAGTTACACCAGGAGAGGTTTAGGTTGGATCTTAGGAAAAACTTCTTCACAGAAAGGGCTTTGAATTGGAATAAGCTGCCCAGGGAAGTGGTGGAATCGCTGTTTTTGGAGGTATTTGAAAGACATGTAAATGTGGTGCTTAGGAACATGGTTTAGTGGTGACCAGGCAGTGCTGGGTTAACGGTTGGACTTGATGATCTTGAAGGTCTCTAACAAGCAAAATGATTCTCTGATTCTACGAATGGAAAAGGGAAAGGAAATTACATATGCTGTTTGAAAGGATTGTGTTTTTAAGGTTTACTGGTTGCTGAGTATCGGAGAAAGAAATGCCTGGCTGTGCTACAATTATTTTGGGGAGTGTGTCCAGCAAGATGTTCTTCTTACAGTTAATCTTCATGCAAATACTCTACCCTGAAATAAAAAATTACTGATTTATCCTATCTCTGTTAAAAACATATTTGATTCTCTACAGGGTTTATTAGGCTTTGTCACTTAGAGTAAGTTACACTCTGATTAATTCTAAAGTCTGCCTTGAATAACAATATAAATGAAGTAATCCTTCACCTAAGGGCAGGTGACATTAAAGGAGATAAAGCTTCTGCCATTCTCCTGCTAATGAGCTCAGAAGTGCTGTCATTAATAAAAGTCCAATAATAAGGCATGAATGAGATAATATCCATAATTGTGTGCAAAATAGTTATTCTCAAGAATAGTGATAAATCATATTTCAGAAAATAAATGCAAAAGTTGTTTTCTGTACTGTTTTTTCCTAAAGACATTCCTTGAATATTTGCTAAGGCTTGGCGTTGTAGGTGGCTGCTTTTAGGTGTCCGACCACACAGAAAGGGTAAAAAGAACCTATGGAGGAGGGGGAAAAAAATTGACTTACATAATGAACAAATAGACTGAGGAGGAACATAATGCATAATCACTTTTTGCCAGGAAGAAGTTAGATAACCAAAGCTGCTGTAGATGCGAAGGTTATATTTGGTAGAAGCATGAGAGCGTGTAAGGACACTGGTCATACTGGAACAGACCCATTTTGGCTGTGAAAGAGGCAAAGGATAAGGTAGATCCTAATTTTTACGTTAGATTATTCTAGTTAGTCTCTTTTGTATGCAGGTGTTCTGCCTCTGCCAGGGAAGACTAGATTATTGGGGTTTTTTGCCTCAAATGGGCTTTTGGAACAAGACTCTCCAATCTGGACCTTTTCCTGGTCCCATGTGACAGTCTGGAGCTGTTTAGCCACAGTTTTTGAAATATGTAATTAATGAAGTTCCTGCTTGTTTTTGTACTTTAATTATGGGAGTGCTGATAGCTGCTAATTATTTAAAATGCCTGTTGTGCAGGCTGATAACACCTAATTGATCAGGTCAAAACCCGTGGAGACGGACATGCACAGTGAGTGTTGAAGAGCCTAGACAAGTAAAAAGCTAAAATTCTGGTTCTGGGAATGTCAAAATAAAGACATCTATTTAACTATATGCACACGCTTCAGCGTTGATAACATGACTGGTAACACTGCAACATGGATTTTGTGTCAAGTAGTCAGTTGTCAGCTTCTGCATCATGGATGTTAAGGATAAAATTTTGTGCCTAACTGGAAAACTAGCTAGTCATTTCAAAGCTATTCATGGCCCCTCTTACTTTCATGTTCTTAAGCTGACATTGTTTTAAGGTAGGTAGTATACTTACCAGGTTTCTTGCTGAGCAACCATGAAAGGTAGGAGATAGGTTATGGTTTTTATAGTCTTTCCACCAATGATGAGACTATAAACCTAGTTCTGTAAATTTTGAAATCCATGTGGCTGGCTTAGCAAAATTAATTTCTTATCCCTTTAGGTCACAACCTAGTGTGGGGTAGAACCATTGGAATGTTGGGACCATTATATGTGGAGAAAAAAGTATTTCCATTATTAAAAAGGAAAAAAACACAGTCACCCAGGAAAAAAAAAACCAAAAAATATTTGAGATGTCAGATGTGAAGGACTAGCATTACACTGTTCTAATGAGAAAAAAAGAAAATGTATTGGAGTTGTTTCTTCCTTGTCCAGACTAAAAAAGAAACAAATAACAAAAACCCCTTGACCACTAGAAAACGTTACGTTTAAGAAACAATAAGAAGCTTTATGGTACTGAAAGAAAAAATTTGCAATCAATCTATTTATGGATCCAGATTGGAATTTGGGAGTCAGTGACCTTTCATGATCCTATGCTTTTTCCATTCTTTCTTGCTTGACTTAATCTTATCCAACATTTTAAAACCCTGACAATGAGTTTCAGTTACTACCAGCTGTGCCTTGAGGAGCTTTATCAAATGAAGGCCTTACCTTCCATCAGTAAGAGTACTTGCAAGGTTGTCCTTAACCTGGTGGTGAGAGCTAGCACACAGAACACATGAAGGCCAGTTTATTTGCAATAAAGCATAATGTTAAGATGAAATTTGACAACTGATGTCCATTTCTTCCCTCCTTCTTTATGAAACTCATTGTACACATCGATTCCAGTAGGAGATACCCTCTTCAAATTGCAGCTTCTTCACATCAAATCCCTAAAATTCTTTTGGAAGGCACAAACATTAATGGAAGCTAAACAGAGGCTTACACAGAAGTTGATGGTGTTCTTGAAAAAATATTTGCGTATTAAACTTTGGAAAACTAATCAAGACGTGGCTTTCAAATTTTTGGATATTAAAAGTTGTGGTTAATCAGTGGCATATCTGGAGGTGCTATTATGCAGCTTATAAGGAGATGTCAGCTGATTTCTTCAGAGCACTGTTGTCATAGCCCATACTTTTGCTCTCAATGACTCACTTTTCTGTTGTTCCAGAGAGAGACCTTTTTGGAGCAGAACCTTTTGACCCTTTTAGCTGTGGAGCAGGAGATTTCCCTCCAGACATTCAGTCCAAACTAGATGAGATGCAGGTAACTACCAAGTTATCAATTACACAGTTTTCTATGACTGTATGCCTGTTCTTAAAATACATGTTTAGAATATTACAAAAATGCACACAGGGGTTGCACACACAAATGCATAGGAAAAAACCTATTTCTGACTATTCTTATTGAAAGTATATCTCATGGTCTTTGGGCTGGATATTGAATTTGCCGGTCCTTACATGGTATTTATACAGACAACTGTACTACTTTAGGGTTTCTCAGCAGTGTAATCAAAATGGATACTGCTAGTCCTGCCTGATAAGGGACTGAGTGAGCTGAAACAGAGAGCTGAGATGAGAGCCCTGTAGATAACACTAATCTTGTTACTCTTCAGTTCCAGCAACCACCCCCATCCCACTATAACTCATTTTTCCCTCAGTGGCATGTCTGATTTTTCATAGTATTGGCATAGGCAAAGTGTGTGTTTAAGGGGCAATGACAATATTCTGCTGCTTTTAAAAACTTTAAAAAACATTTGACCGTGCCACTCTGGCACAAGTAAACTACTGAGAATTGTTTGAAAAATTTTGAACTGGTGTGCCTTTATCAAAAAATGTTGGTTCGGAAACAGTCAGCAGTATCTGTCTCGTTATTGCCCCAAATTTTGAAGCAATTTGAGAAGAAAGCATTCAAGTTTTGGAACAAATTACTCTCTTCAGTCAGACTTTCCAAACTGCTAGCTCCTTGCCAGCTTGCTTATCTGGATTTTTTTCAGCAGCTTGACAGCAAATTGGAAAGCGGAAAATACTGGGGACTTGAATTTCTAGGATCCTGACCCCTCAGCTGAAAGTGTTCCCAGGGCTTCCATCTCTCTTGTGTATCAAGAGCCCACAGAGTCCAAGAGAGCTAGGTCTTGGGCTCCTTCACTTCGTCCTTGCCTGGACAGCAACAGAAATAGTTCAAAATGGCTGATATCAGAGTTAAATACCTTTTAGTTTTCCTGAGAGAGATGGTTGGTTGGTTTGTTTGTTTTAAATTTCTGTTCAGTGTGAAATTGCCACTGGCATACTCTGCGAAGTAGGAAATTTAGGTTCTTACCTATACTCTGGCCAATATAATTTCAGATAGCATCCAAAAGCCAAAATAGGCTTCTTTGTGATTCCTTTAAAAATGTTTGTGCTTTGTGACTGCTGTAATGTTATTACCAAGCCCTTTAGCACAAAATACAAATCCTTCAGCACTTCACATTGATACAGATTAATATTTCCATTGTCTACAGCCCATTTTGGGAAAAAGTATGCTGTAGCATCTGTGGCTACCAGGAGGTATCCTATGAAAATATCTATATGTCACACACTGGGAGTTCTTAATACAGGAAATGTTTTGACAAAATTTTGTATTGTTAGCATATAAGGCTGCAAAATGGTATCACCTCATAAATTGTGGAAATGTTTATCAAAGATTTTTGAAGTCATAAAATTAAAACTTCCTATAATTCATCGTATTCTCTTATCCTAAAAATGCAAACAAACAGCCAGTAACAAAATCCCCAAACATTATGTTATTGCACAGAATATTACATTGGTCGGGTATTTGCCCTGCATATACAGGTTTCATCTTTTACATCTTTTTTGTATGCTTTGTAAATTAGTCTCACAATTAGAGTGTCTAGCGTATTGATGTTAGCATACCCTAACATTTTAACTGAAAAATAATCCATGGGTCTTCATGTAGGCACAGAACTTGTTCATGTGTAATCCTGTTTAGGAGTCTAAAGCTGACAAGGTGTGAAAAAAAATAGTATTCTAACTTTGACCAAAACAAAAGCTACATGCAGTTATTTTACTAGGTAACATGTGCAAAACAGACTGAAACATGTTTTTCCTAATATCTTCTTTTATCTTCTTGTGCTTTCCTGGGTGCCTAGCGTCAGCGATGGTTGGTATATCATATTTTAATAATGGTATTTAAAGCATTTACAATCAAAATGTGCTTGTGTTCATGTCTGATGCTTCTATTTTTATGTATATGTGTGTACATTATATATAAACTTTTAAAATTTATATATATACACATGACTCTAAGTCAGGGCCATTTCAGTTTTTAGCTGATTTTAGTTTTCTTTAGTCTGTCTTATCAGCTGCTAATACTAAGCCTTCATTGTTATTGTTTTTTGTTTTCCATGTATACTAGTGAAATCTCCAGTTTTCAGTATCAGATTGTCAATATTGAAATCATTTAAGCAAATATTTTAATATGTTGGGTTTTGCTAGTCCAGTCACATTTGTGATTTGTGATCTTGTGGTTTTAGTTGGAAATAATTAATTAAAAACTTGCAATGAGCAGAAGATAGCTGTGCTAGAGCTTGATAACTGTTAGATATGCAGCCTGTAAGAAGCAAGGTGAAACAGATGCTACAGAAGGTAAAAGCACAGAACATGTAATGTGCTTTGGGATGTCTAACATTAAGAAATAGATAAGAAAAATGTGTAGGCTTCTTTCCTTCTCTGGAATGCATGTTGAAGGAATCAGTTATCTTCACATTGTGGAAGTATAGCACGAGGTTCAGTAAAAATATATCCCGTTAAATGTGGAAAGGTAAGTTGTTTGTGAACACATCTCATAGTTAAAAATTTTAAACCACGTGTGCCTTGGAAGGTGATGTGTCAGCAAAGTGGGGGGTGAAAATACAGAAGAGGCGTTGGAGAACACACTCTTAAGTAGCAGATCCTTTGCATCCAAGATTCTGAACTTAATAAGAACAGATAAAGTTCCCTGCCCTCTAGGGGAACATTTTTATGTTCAAACTTGTGTCAGGATCCAAATTTCACACTTAAGCTCCTTCTATTCCATTTTCTCAGTCCAATCTCTGTTGATCTTTTTGGAGAGTTCCAAAGTCAAACATGTGCTGAGATGTGACTTTTACAGCTCAGGCCTCTCTCTGATGGTGATCCAACCTCCCATTTCCCCCCACCCTTATGCTGAAACATATTTTCATCTTCTCCATTTTCACTGTATCCAGACATTAATAAAATGAATCTATTTTCCCAGAAATCTTGCAGTGAGAGGAAGTTTCCCTGGATTATGAATCATACCAGCAACAGCTGCTATAATTTGTTACAATCTCAAGGTAGTTAATGTCATAAAGCTTCCAGGAGCTGCAAGCCATTCTCCCTGCATGCCCTGAAGCAGTCAGTAGGCTTGTCATCTTTTCATCTGAAATAAGTTATGTTCAGCCCTCTAAATTATCTTCTCGGAGACATGTAAATTTATCATTGGTTCATTGGGTTTGTGCTGACTTAATCTCATTGAGTGAAGTCACTGTGAAGTGATAAGTGAGTTAACCTCAGAGCCATAAGGTTGACTTTGGCAAATTCATCTTCTAAGAAGATGGAAGCTCTGTCTTTTACAGTCTTTAACCAGAATAGCTCATGTCTTATCATAGACACACAAAAAAGTAGGGATTTTGGAAGAGGAGTTGGTCTTGGGTTACTTTCTGTAGTGAAAAGAAGCTTTGCTCCTCTCTTTAAGATACCAGTTGTATCCTTTAGTACAGTACCATTATTTTTCTGGGTAAATGAGATGTTCAATCCTTGTGTTAAAATGCCTTTAAAGTAAAAAAGATATTTGACACAGCTTGGGTCATCATGGGGATATAAACACAGAAGCAAGGCACAATATATGTACACTTCATAGCCCTTCCTCTTCCCACTTCTGTCCACTACCAGGGGATGGCCTTTTTCTACAGTCTCTGAAAATCAGCAGATTTGAGAGATTTTTCTGACCACGTGAGGAATTACTGTTTCCTGAACCTTTAAAGTACAGGAAGCTGTAGGACACATGGTTTTTAATGAGCAGGCAGTGTGTTATACTAAGAGCACATGTTATTAGAAGCTGAAATGTCTGGATTTCACAAGGCAAAATATTTTAAATGCTGCATATTAAAATTAATGATGTATTTTTTTAATACATGTAGTATGTAATATGTGCCAAGTGCTGACAATATATGTCATTTTTAAAGAAAAAATATTCTGCCCAACACGCTAATCAACTTTATTGGAAAAAAAAAAGATAAAACAAGTCATAATTTATAATCATCTTAGTCACTCCAAATGACTTCATTATTATTACAGCTGCAAATGCTGGAGTTTGGAGTGGAAAGGGTGGTAGGCATATGCTTGTGTCATGGATGCATGGATTTTCTCCCAAGTAGCAAGTGATAGGACAAGAGGAAGTGGCCTCAAGTTGCACCAGGGGGAGTTTAGATTAGAAATTAGGAATAATGTCCTCACTGAAAGGGTTGTTAAGCAATGGAACAGGTTGCCCAGGGAACTGATAAAGTCACCATCCCTGGAGGTATTTAAAAGATGTGTGGGTGAGGTGCTGAGGGACATGGCTTAGTGGTGGGTTAGTGGTTGGGCTTCATGGTTTTAAAGGTCTTTTCCAAGCAAAACAAATCTATGATTCTACTACAGTAATCATACAGCAGCTTCAAGTAGGAGCCATAGGACTTGAGAGACATTCAGGTGTATATATAAACTGTATTCCTGAGAGCAGACATGGAGGTTCTCATGTGAGAACTACAGCAGAGGATACAAATTCTATTTTCTGCATTAGTCACAGTTCAACTCAGTCTGGACATAAAGGAGAACCTTTTATTAAAAACGTGTCTTCCCATAGCTTGCCTGACTTGGAGATTCCAAAAATTACTTAAAAATTTGGAGTTATTTTGCAAAACTTGAGAGATTAGGAATGGAGGTGGGTGTAGGAGCTCCAAAGTCTGTGCTTTCCTGATCTTTGGAGATTTGATTGCAGTCACTTTGCCAGAGTCTACTGCAGAGGGATGTTCTGATTTTTTTTTTTTCCTCTCTTGAGGGCTGCATTTAATTTAATGGGACTATTGGTTGAGAGAATACAGATTTCTTTGGTTTATACTCCTATGTGCTTTATAGCACACTTAAATATTTATGAAGGAAAAAAATCTGGATTTTGCATTCTTCTAAAACCTGAAGAATGCCCAGATGGCCATCTAGGTTGCCTTGATGTCCTCTTTACATTGTTGGGCTTTTTTTGACTCTGTGGTTGGCATGGAAGTTTGACCCTACTTATAACTATAATATGTGACACTCAATGATAGTGATTTTTGTGTGATTTAACAGGTGGATGTTGAAATGTCATATTCCTGTTACAGAAAGCTAGGTGCATGAGCTATTTTTAAGTATGCATGTGTTAACACAGCAGTTCCTGGCACTAAAGTAGTATTTTACCTCCTTATTAATTCTATCTGTAATAGAAACTAGCCTCTCAGGTTTGCAACTGATAACAGCACCTGGCAACCACATCACTATTTTCTTCTAGATCAGACAATAGTTCATTATAGTAATAAAGTTAAAAGGCTTTTAAAATAATTATGATACATATAATGCAGCAATCTCTTAATGGATTAACATTGTTCACATTGCAAATATGTGCAAATGCAATTGTTTTAAATGCAGAATGTCACAGTTTAGGAGGAGGACTAAATGGGGGGGCTGTGGTGTGAAGTTACAGAAGGAAAGATCAAGGAAACCATTCTTCAAGAAATTAGAAAAAGTTCAAAGCAAAGTCATAGCAAACTCAAGGTAAGTGATAGGTGACAAAATACCTTTGTATGGGGTAAAACAAAAACTGAAAAAACACCATATGTTCAACATAAGAGCAGTGAGATGTGTACGTTTTCAAAATGCATCATCTGATCTGCTCTTAGCTAGCCAGAAGGGGAGCACTGGGAGTGCAGCTACCTAAGAGACTGACAAGCAGTGCTTAAATGTGTAGAAGAAAGGTAAAAGGGTGCAGGACGTTCATGGGATGCATGTTCCATGAAGGACTTTCTGGATTTGCTGAGAATGAAGCTGGTTGTCATTAAACCAGTTGCTGTGGCTGTTCTGCTCTTGCATCTCTCAAGCATCCTCAGGTTGAAGCACAACCTATCCCTTCTGCAACCTCAAAACTGGAAGTAGCCTTTAAACACTTTAAAAGATGAACATTTCAGATTCACTGTAACTGCAGGGTTTACAATTTAAAAGGCTACACTGTAGAGTTAATTCCATGAATTCTCAGCCTGTGTAAGCAGTCCTCCTCTGAGTGCTGTTACATCAATTAATAGCATCCTTTGGGTAAATTAACAATGTCTGTTTATAACAGGATGTGTTTGACTTGGAACTTCAGATAATGTTTGCTTGAAATATCTTTTGCACTGAGTTCTCTTCCTGTTAGCCCTTGAAAAAATACAGAGAGAAGAAATAAAGTCAAATACACCAGTAAGTTTTAGCAGCACAATGTCATCCAGGGAGGGCAAACTGCACAGCTGGAGAAGGTTTACACCACAGTACTACTACTAGCTCATCATTTCATAGTATAGATCTGTCTTTAGGAAACTGCAAATTTTACTTGGAAAATCTCAGATCATTTAGTAACGATTGCCAGGAAGTTTATTTTCCTCCTCAGCATTACATTTCTGATGGCAGTAGCTGGTGGGGTTATTAAATACTCATATGCTTTTAAAATGAATGCTAGCCTGTGGTTTAAATTTGTTTCCAATGAAGCTGGTTTGCCTTGGGAATCATCTTTTAATACCAGAAGGTATGCTCTCGAGGTACTGCTGTGCAATATGAGAAAAGCTTTGAGTTTATGCCTAATCCAAATACAGACTGCTTTACAAAAGGATTTAGTTTTTTTACAAGGTGTTTGCTTCATGAAAGCACATCTTATTGATTTCATAGCATGCAATCAGCATTCTCTAAATGACCTGTATGTTAAGACAACACTGAACAGAACATTGTGACACCTGCCACTGGAATTGATTTCTCATGGCATTTTTCTTCAGAGCTCCTGTTTTCAATTCCTTTTAGCTTTACGGTACTAACCGACTGAAATTTTCCTGACTCAAAGGTGACTTTTCTCTTGAAGGTCATGCCACAATTACTCCACTTCTTTTAAAGCAAAAAGAAATGAAAACAAGAGCACTTTCCCTATATTAAAAGTGCTACTGTTATTTTAGAACTGGTGCAAGCTAAGTACATTTTGTAAACCAAACACAGGTACTTGTAGAATTAGTTTCTTTTCAGCAGAGGGAGTGGTAGCATCTGGCTTATAACCATTTTTGTGTTTCTACTAATCAAATGAATGTGAATAAAAAGGGGAATTTTACTCTAAACTTTGTGCTTTGTAAAAACCGTTGTATTGTCTTTCACTGAGCTACATGCCTTTGAAATGCAGTTTGTTTATTTATAATAGAGCAAGTATGAATTTATTTGCATTTTTAGTAAAACTCAGATGACAATAGGCTGTAAAGCATGAACCTGTCAATCTAACTGCACAGGGAGCAGTTCAGAACAAACCTCTGAGATGTGTTTGAGTGCTACAATTTTTGTTGGGCTAATTCTAAGATAAGGGATTACTGAATGTCGGAGACACTTGGTATTTGTAACAATATCCATGACTTCTCTGAATCCTTAAAGTGTAAATATAATCAGCTCTGCTCATATAATCCTAATCTTTCCTGCTTAGAAATCATGTTGAATTTTACTTAGGAACAACATGGTGTAAGTCAAGCTTGTCTGTTTTTCTGTCAACCTAAGTATATGAATATTCAATATTTTTTTCTGTCTTGTCTTCATTTATATACGTAATGTATTTCATTTGTTGTTTGAGATACATCCTTTTAGAAGTTAACCGTTAAGACATTAAAAACTGGCTGACCAAATAATGTAAATGTGTTTGAATTCACTCTGAAGTATCCTTATGGTTTATCTGCCTAAAGATAAGCTCAAATGTAGCTGTTTTTAGGAAAAGAGCTTAATCCTTCAGAAATTACTTTCCTTTTAATTAACTATGTCTTGTTTCGTTGCAGGAGGGGTTCAAAATGGGATTAACTCTTGAAGGCACAGTATTTTGTCTTGATCCACTAGACAGCAGGTGCTGATGCCAAGAAATGTGAAATTCCTACACAGTGGTTTTGGTTTTTTTTTTTTTAATCCTGAACACGTGTTCACAGATATCCATGTGCCAAAAAAAATTGCTTTTCTCAACCTGTAAACTCTTGTGAGGTTTGCTTCTGTAAAAATCCAACTTAGTTCCAGTATTTCCCTGTACAAATGTAAAAAGTTGTATTTGTTTATGAAATATGAATTAAATTACTCTGTTGTGTTTCTTTCTCTCACCTTTTGGCCCAAGTTTACTATGCTTTATGATTATTAGCCTGGAGAAGTTCTTCAGAAAGCTCACACATACCTCTCTCTGTTTGCAGATGTGCAAGCATGATTTTTACCTTATACTTTACCTGTCAGCATTTTGAAATTGTGCTTTTAAGCCATTATTTCATAATCAAGCAGTAAAAAGATTAATATCAAGTACAAAGAGTTCAAATTGCAGCGAAAAAGCATAAAATGCTAACTATCAATATATGCTTAAAAAGTAAATCTGGATGCTGTGTAATTGATTTCCATTACTCTGTATGGTTACTATGCTGTATATATGTTATTAGTTTATAAAATCCAGAAGATTTTAGGTCCTTAATTCCTGTTTCAGAAACTAACAAATCAGTAGTATCCTAATTAGCATTTAATGAGCATAGAAGAACTGATAAATTGCAGAATGGACAAAGTAACTGCCTTTTGTTTTGATATTTTATAGCTGAACTGTAAAGGATATAATTTGATATTCATTACATGTTAACCATAACTTAAAAAAGAAGATCATGGGCTTGCATTTACTTAGGAATTTAAAGAATTTTGTGTATAAGGAGACACTCCCTTTACCGGGGTCAATTCTGTAACTTGCTGTCAACAGCTGGGTCTTTACAGTCAGCCTCTGTTGAGTATTATTTTCACTGCCTGCTTTCATGTTCTATGTCTTATTATAATTTCGAAGCTTGCTGCAAGAATTCAATACAAGTTAGTAGGCCCTTCATACCCACTGGTTGTTCATGTTGCACTGCACACCAAATTTAGCAGTTACGAGTTGAATGCTGACCTCTCTATGCATACCCCTCATTAATCTTAACATAAGCAATAAAATACCATACTAAATCTATTTCATAAAATTATTATCGTTAGAGATTTGATGCCCAAACTCCACTAGTTCAATTCAAAAACTTTAAAATTCTAATATTTTCTATTCAAAATACGTAGATGTGGGAAAAGAACCCCAAATTTTCAGATTTTTTTTTTCATATTTTATTTCCTTTTTCATTAGAGGAAAAAAAAAAAAAGATTAGATATCTTTTTGTGGTACTTAGTTTTATCCTTAATAATTACAGTTTACACCAAAAATATATTTTTCCAAATTCATCATCATGTGTATATCTTTATGCCTTGTTCAGCAAAGTACTTCTGTATATGCCTTTGAAGTCCACTGAAATGAATGGAATTATTCCTTTGCTGAGTTTGACACATGCTCAGGTACCTTGCTGAATGGGGGCCTCAGTGTCCTACACTACATTAGTCTTCCTCTCTCTTATTCTGTGTTCAACACTCATATAGAGTATTATATATAAAT